TTTTGTATGTGGTGCTGAGGATCGAACCCGGGCCGCACGCATGGCAGGTGAGCGCGCTACCGCTTGAGCCATATCCCCAGCCCAATTTATATATTTTTTAAAAGTTATTTATAGCAGTTACAGTAAGGTTTTGAGGACCAGTGGAACTGTGTTGAAACGACAATGTAACAGAGAACCTATTCATAGAGATCTAGCATCCAACATATTTTTTAGTTAGAAGAGAATTTACACATGGAATGTTTAACTGACTCTCTTGTCACCCAAAAATCATTCATTGGAAATACTGAATCTGGATTGGTCTTGTCCCTGACTACTTCTTCATATGCTAAGTGTTGTGTTTAAACTTGTCTTTCCTGGGATTTATGAGGAAATACAATGTGGCAGTAACAATCCCAACAACTTCCGTTTCTATAGTGCTTTACAATTTCCAAGACATTTTCATGTATGTTTTCTTTTAGTAAAAGTATGAGAGTATTTTGAAATTATGAAACTATAAGGTAAGAACACTTTTTTATTTCCCATATAATATTTCATATTCAAAGTCACTGAGAATCAAGGTGATGGGACAGGAAATCATACTGCTGTTTCTGAGGTTTGACCCTTGGTAAGTCATTTCCAAATGTCAACAGACAGCCCTCTGTGCGGTGGTAGGTCATCCAAGGAAGCATGGCTCCCTCCTGCATGTAGGTGGGCTGGGTAATTATGCACCAAGGCTGCCTGCACTGGTCCCTGAAAAGTCACATTTAGTAAAATCTTTAATAAGTATCCTCTTTGTTCAGAAACTATTCAATCTGGAATATGATCTCTCTCTCTCTCTCTCTGAGTTTCTACTACTTATGGGAGTAATTTTATCTTTCAGTAAAAAGCCTTCAAGAATACTATGTCCTTGGAGGAAAGTGGGAAGGGGAAAGAAATTCCACATCACAGTGAGTGACTCAAAAATTATAAAAAATTAATATAACAAAACCTGTAGAAAAGGGATAGAAATGTATGTACAAAAGTGCTATTTTCCTTTTATAAAGTGGGTTTACTTTTCTTTTGTGGGAAATTTTGAAAAGATTGAGAGAAAGACTTTTCTGTTTTTAAGCCACTTTGAGATGTTTGGAGTACTGAGACTTTGCAGTGGAAAAATATGAGCCTGGAATAGTTTTATCTTTCTCATCCTCCACAAAGTCTAACCACAGCATTCTATTGGATCAGAAAGCTCAGACAGAAGAAGGATGTATGGGGCAGGAGGAGCTCCTGAAGGCACTGTGTACCTATGTCTACATGGAAAGACATCTGTGTTCTAACTAAGAAAACCCAGAGTCTTCACTGTAAGTAGCAGTCGCCACTGGAGTGACTGGTGTCATAGTGCATTGAGGACACCACTGAGGGATATGAAACCACGGTGACATGTGGACAAGCTCCAACTGCTTTCACGAAGCTTATCCAGCCAGTGGCAGGAGCATCCTGGGAGTGAGCAGAGGGTCCTTTCAAAATACTGGACTCACAATCACAATGATCTCAAATTCAGACTGGACATTATTTCCAAATGAGGTCATGCGTGCAGTGGCTGAGCCACACTGACAGGACTGAAAGAAGTCCATTGTATTCCTTTAAACTCTTGCCTTGCCTCTGACCCATCACTGCTGACAGCCCGAATCAAAGTCCCAGCATGTCCCACCTTGACTTCAGAAACCTCTCAAAGGTATTCCCTGTTTCAGTTTCCACAACCCTGCCACCTATTCTCCAAAGAGCAACCAGAGTGATATTTTAAAAATGCAAATGGCATGATCCTGATCACAACCTTCCAGTGTATTCCCATCAAACCTAGAATAAGTCCTAAACCCTCAATACAGCCTGCATAACCCTACATGATCTGAATTGTAACTAACACTACTTCTTTTCAATCAATTTCACTGCATTCCAAGCAGACTAAGAACCATGCTATTCCTTGAAACGGGCAGAGATGTCCCATCTCAGGGCATTTGCACTTGCTGTTAGCTTTGCTTGGAAAACTTTTCTGCGCAGATACTAAATGGCTTGCTTCCTCCTTTCATCTAGGTCTTTCTTCAAATGTCATATCCATAGATAGGCATTCTTTGAATAATCTACATAAAAGCACATCTTTTTCCTTCAAGATGCATTGATTTTTTTATAGCACACACATAAACATTTATTTGACTTTTTTTTTTCTTCCTTACAAAAATAAAAGCTTCATGAAGGCAAAGGCTGTATATTTTTCACTGCTAAATCTATTATGCCTAGAACAAAAGCACATGGAATAGCCAGGCACGGTGGCACACTTCTGTAATCCTAGCAGCTTGGGAGGCTGAGGGCAGGAGGATTGCTAGTTCAAAGCCAGCCTCAGCAAAAGCAAGTCGCTAAGCAACTCAGTGAGACCCTGTCTCTAAATAAAATACAAAATAGGGCTGGGGTACTGGAATTGTGGCTCAGTAGTAGAGTGTTTGCCTGGCATGTGTGAGGTCTTGGGTTCCATCCTCAATACTACATATAAATAAGTAAAATAAAAGATCCATCAACAACTATATATATATATATATATATATATATATATATATATATATAT